TCCAAACCCAAAGCCCCGAAATTCATCCGCAAGCCGCTTATCAAAGCAGAGACTAAAAGCCTTCAATCCGAGGTTCAAAACCCCTTCAACCGCATCTACAACCTAGATCTTTAATCCTAAAACCCATAGACCTGAACTCCCAACCCCAAAACTCTGAAACCACAAAAACTTACACCCTAAAACCACCAAACCCTCAACCTCAGAGATTCAAGCCGAAGCACCGGCTTTTTGGGTCGCCCCATTTTCGCCGGAAAGTCAGGCCGCCCGTGCGGACAGCGGTATGGGGCACCAAGCCATTAGCTGGTAGGGTTTAGGGTTGAAGGTTGTCCGAGCAGTTACTTAAGACTTTAGGCTTTAAGGCCCATCTAGTCTTGGATTCAGGGTTTGGGGTTTGCAGTTCGGGGGGGTGAGCATAGGCGGCATAGACGTGTGGCTAGGGGTTCACAGCTGTAGCGCTTAAGGATTAGGTTTAGGCCGGTTTAGGGTTTAAGGTTTAGGGTTTAGGGCTTAGCGGATTAGGATGGGTCGAGGGCTGCAAGCTGCGGGCCTCAAGGACCCCGGTTAAACGCAATGTCAGGTGGTCGTTGAAAGCAAACTGAGAGGGGTTGGGTTTTGCAGCTTAGGGTTTAGGGTATGGAGGGTCGAGCTTACGATTTGGGGATTGGGTTGAGGGTTTTTGCCGTTGTGAGTGACTTCCCCATTGCTGCATAACTTCTGCAGCTGCGGCGGATAAGCCGGTAGCGATCAGTCCACGTCTCAACCCCGGGCCACCGAAAGCCCTGAACCCAAAATTCCAAACCTGAAACCCGGACTTCACTACTCTTTAGGGTTTAGGGTTAAGGGTTTAAGGTTTAGGGTTTAGGGCTTACGTGGCTGAGGCAGGTTCGGTTGAGGGGAGACGACATCGGGGTCCCAGGTTTTGGGCATGTGACCCTAAACCCTAAACCCTAAAGCTTTAGGGTGTAGGACCTATAGCCAGCTCACGGTTTTGGATAGACGGATTCCGGCGGAGGCTTGAATATCGAGGGCATTTCGGGCTTAGCGACTTAATCTAGGGGCAGGGGCCTTAATAATTAGAAAAAGGGCTTCGGGGCCCACTATGCTGCAATTAACATAGGGAACCTCCAAAATTAATTTTGGTAACTGCTAAGGCCCCCATTTTGAGGCTATTTTTAGGCCCTAAACCCTAAACCCTAAACCCCAAACCCTTAGTGGAACCTGCAGGGGGCTTGAAATGCGCTAAAGGCCCGTAGCAACAGCCCTGCCCAAGGCTCCTCGCCCCCTTGGACTGCAGACCGAGGGAGCCCCGAGTATGATTGAAGACAAGTCAAGATTAAAGGAAACTACAGGTAGGGAGTTTAGGGTATATAGGGCTATATAAGGCTTCTATCAGGTACATAGGCTTTCTATAGGGCTCCTATAACGGTAACTACCCATCTGAAAATGTCCTAAATTAAGGACAGCACCCAAGTTGACAAGCCCAGACAACAGCTCTGCAAAACGCAACAGCCTCCAGCCAAGAATGCCGCAGCCAACTATTGAAGCAAAACCAAGAACACCCAAAGCAGTAACAAACCCCCGCCAACCCAAAGAGAAAACCGAAGATGGCCTTAAACCCTAACCCGAAACCTGGAACCCGAAACCCTAAACCCTTAACCCGAAATCCTCAAACTGAAACCCTAAACCCTAAACCCTAAACCCTAAACCCTAAACCCTAAACCCCTAAACCCCTAAACCCCTAAACCCCTAACCCTAAACCCCCCACCCCCCACCCTTGCAACGCCGCGGGAAAAGGCGGGGTCTCCTCGCAGAAGGCCTCGAGCTGAACGCCAACGAACTGCTGACACAAATCCGGGCCCAGGGCCTGGTCGGATAGTATCTAGGGCTTTAGGGTTTAGGGTTTAGGGTTTAGGGTTTAGGGTTTAGGGCCTGGTCGGATAAGGGCACCCAGAGACTCCAATACCCCTTAATTAAAGGAATATACCTTAAGTCATAGTAGGATCCCTAATAAGATTTAAGGTATATATTCCTTAATTAGGGGGTATTGGAGTCTCTGGGCAATAAGACATGCAAGGGCTTCTTCGGGTTTAGGGCTTTGGGTTTAGAGTTTAGGGGTTTAGGGTTTAGGGTTCAGGGTTCAGGGTTTAGGGTTCAGGGGTTTAGGGGAAAGGGCTTAGCGGGTTTAGGGGGTTCAGGGGTTCAGGGGGTTTAGGGTTTAGATGATGGTTTCCGCAGCTGTAAGGGTTGCATAAGGCTAATAAGGGATCACACCGCTGAACAGTAAAAGGAGTTTAGAAGGGCTACATTAAGCTTCTATAACTACAGGGACAAGAACATCACTGGTGAGGTGACTCGATGTTTACTCCGGTTCCGGTTTTTGTGCATGGGTGTTGTAAGGGTTGAAGCCGAAAAGTAAAACCAGGTACTATGCTGGCTGGGGTTGGGGATTCTATAGGACACCCTGACCCTAAACCCTAAATCCCAAACCCCTAAACCCTAAACCCTAAACCCCGAAACCCTAAACCCTAAACTCCTAAACCCTAAACCCTAAACCCTAAACTCCTAAACCCTAAACCCCAACCCCCTTAGCCCCTAAACCCTTAGCCCTAAAGTTAACAAGATTCCATTTTCGTCAGAAATCCGACGCCCACGGCCTGAGCTCTGAGCCTTCAAAAACCGAATGCAAACGAAGATGCAGAGGTCGGAATACAACAAATGTAGGGGCCGTAATCATTTGGAAAGGGTTCCTTTAAAGGGATCCTTAATGGGTTCTACAAGGGATCTATGATAGGTTCTATATTAGGGGCCTTAATAAATAGAAGAGGGTTTGGGGCTATATTATACTGTCATTATAATAAGGATCCCCCAAAAGAGTATAGGTAATTATTTGGGCCCCTATATTACTGTTGATGATGTAAATCCTGCACTGACTTAAGGACCTGAGAGTATGGGAATTCTGGTATCTTCCTGATTATGGGTAATGCAGGATTTACAACATCAACCGAAGTACTAACATCCTCTCAACGGCCACCTACATAGCTCTTGCATTAAGCCTAAACCCTAAACCCTAAACCCCAAAACCCGGGCCCTTAAGAACTAGTATAACTATAATAAGGAACCCCCAAAATAGTATAGGTAATTATCCCCTCTATTGAAGCCCAAACGACAATGGTCTCGAGTCCTCAAACGTGTCTCTAGGGTTTAGGGTTTAGGGGCTTAGAGGCTTTAAGGGCTTAGGGTTGAGGGTTTGGGGTTTAGGGTTTACGGGTTGTGGATTCAGGTTTTAGGGCTTGGATATCTTAGGGTGCAGGGTTTGCTCAACCTCCGTGCACAGGGCGCTATGTGTGTCATAGAGAGGGCCTCGATAATAAGACTGATGTAGCGGCATCTATAGTATGACATGAAAGAAAAATCTGGGGGCTACAAGGGGTACAGAGCGCAGGGCCCCAACCCTCCCTCTCCAAGTCCTCGACTTTACGGTTGAGACATTAGTATCGGATTCTGTGTATTCTGGCTGTCGCTTAGGGTGTATGTTCTGGGACTCGGAGCTTCTTAGCTGAGTATACTGGGCTCTTCTTCTAGAACTTCTTCTAAGTGACGACAACAACGAAGGGCAACCCAGTCTTATCATACATGCTAACATCCCTGTCATGCCCCTGATGTTACCAATCAAAAATGAAGGAACTTCAGAACCTAGTTGAGTTACAAAGATTCGCGGGAACTCCATCAAGTAACTGCCTGGATTGAGAGTGATATATATATATATATATATATACATGTATATGTAGATTTACATGTTTATGTACACGTAAGTGCATATTGGATATGGATATGTACAGGCATATGCTATGGATAAAGATATGGATACTGGTATGGACAACGATGTGCATATACAGACATATATGTACATGTAGACATGTATACAAATAAAGTAGACATATATTTTTATGTGTATATATACACTGTTACATAAACACATGTGTGTACATATATTTACTTGTTTATTTAGAGATATATTTATGTGTATGTAGATATATATATATATATACCTCTATGTATAAACACTCATCCATCCATATCTATCCATCCATCCATCTCCATATCCATAACCATATCCATACGGTATCCATCTATCCATCCATCCATCCATCTCACTCTCTCTCTCCCTCTCGCTCCCGCTCTCGCTCTCCCTCTTATTCCTTCGAAAACTCAGAATCCCTAAACCCTAAAGCCCAAACTCAAAGCCCTCACATCCTAAACCCTCACACCCTAAACCCTAAACCCTAAACCCTAAGCCCTCACACCCCAAACCTTAAACCCTCACACCCTGAACCCTTAACCCTCACACCCTGAACCCTAAACCCCTAAACCCTGCGGTCCACCGCCGCCTCGGCGAGGCCTCCTAAAAGCTGCACCGCCGTGCTCCTCGCTTCCTGGGGGGTTTAGGGGTTTGCGGGTTTAGGGTTTTAGGGGTTTTAAGGGTTTTAGGGGTTTAGGGGTTTAGGGGTTTAGGGGTTTTAGGAGTTTAGTTTAGGGTTTAGGGTTTAGGGTTCAGCAGCTCCGGATCGAGCAGTTTCTCGTCGAGCTCAACTCCGG